TGCACAACAGTGGAAAAACTAAGATATGAAAATAAATAAATATTAGAATGTGCAGGAATGAATAAATTGACAATAAAAATCAAGAAGGCTTCGAATACTTTTTCACGTGGGATTTGTTTTATCAATTGCTAACTAACAGAAACAAATTAGAAATCTAAAAGTATGAAATAAAACACCAATTATATAAGGAAAGGTCACTAAACTGTATAAGGAAATATTATTAGTACTTAAGCATTATTAATGTGTAGATAACCGCGGGACATTACACACACACACACACACACACACACACACACACACACACACACAAACTTTGGCAGTGCCAGGAAAACACCAAAAATAACAATTTCCCCCCCAAAAACTGCAGTTTTTTTCCATAACCCTAAGGACAGGAAAGACAAAGCCACTGGAATAAAAACCATCAAGGCATTGTGGAAAAGATAAAGAACAGGGCCAGGAAGCTTACAGAACCAGCAACCACCTCACAATTACCTAAATAACCAGGTATCACACAGAAACACAGAAAATCTGGCAAAGCTGCCTTACACCAACCTGGCCTGCCCATAGAAAAGCAGCCACTTTGATACACATAAACCATACACCAACTTGCACACTTAAAAGCAACATATTGCATCACAAATAAAACATTTTCAAAAAGGATTAAAATTTCTTATAATAAACATATTCTATGAACAATAAATAAATAAAAATTCCCTAAAATAATTTTTTAAAAAAGATATTCTATAAGTAATTTTAAAAATCCTTAAAAACCATTTTAAAATATTATATACACAATAAATTAAATTAAAAAAAACATTAATAGCATAAAGAAAAAAAACCATGTCACTTACCAGCAGGCAGAATCAGCAGCTCTCCGATGCGATGGATGCAAGGAGCAGGCAGGTGACCAGGCGGCAGGTAAGGTGTCCTGGCTGGCAGGCTTAGCCAGCCAGGCAAGGCTGGGGACTGGGTTGGGTGGTGGTGGTGGCAAGAAAGTCCTCAGCTGGTGATTCTGAGGCCCTTCCTCCACCCTTGAGTATGTTCCTCGCGGTGGCTACGGCCTTTCCAGCTGCCCGGGAGTTGGGTGCACTGCAGGGCGCTGACTCTGAGGCTACGGAGGCTTGGTCGGTGTTCTGGCAGCCATGTTTTTAAGCCGGCAGCCACATGGAGCCCTTCTTTGCTTGCGTAGCGGCTTTTGGGGCTAATGGGGCTTGGGTTTCCAGCCCGACAGCCCCTGCCACTTCTGGATGTCTATTGCAGTCGCAAGGAGCCGAGGAGAGCATGGAGAAGAGTGCAAAGATTCTCGGTGCTCCAGGAAGCCGCGAAAGCAGCTGGGAGAGATGCACAGCTTGGTTTAGCCTCCCTGGACGTCGCAACAGCCCCCATCTCAGCGTTTTTCGCATCGGGGCGTGCTGCACGAGGGAGTGAAGACCTTTTCTGGATTACTGGTGGTGGAGGTGTGGGCCTGTCACCCTATGCTCAGCAAAGAAAGTCCGGGGAAGTCTTTTGCACCGGCCGTGCCACGCAAGCTACCGGTGGTCGCCCCATGCTTTGCCCACGGATGTCGTGGTGCAGATGGGTGAAGGGAGCGAGTGGCCGAGCGGCCTACGATGGGCGGGGGTAAGCAAGCGAGGGGGCTAGTTCCACTGGTAGAACTGGTTCTAAATGGCACTAACCGGTTCTACCGAACTGGTTAGAACCAGCAGGATCCCACCCCTACCTCCTCCTCACAAATCTGTGACAGTAATTCCGTTTTGTTCCACAGAAAATACCCCTGTCCCGTGGCACCCTCATTTTTTGTTGGTTTCTTCAGTTATACAGCACCCCCTCAAATTTAATCCCTATGAAATTGCTTAACGCTGGCTTCCCAAAAGAAAAAGGTTTCCAAGGAGTGGGAGAGCACAGAGTTGCTCAGCTTGTATCCACACACTTCTCTGCTCTAATTATGCACTTTCAAACTCTTCTAAGGAACTAGAGCTGTCTTTAGACTAATTTATTAAACAGGGGTTCAGCTACAGAAACAGCTTTTGCATTTTCAGGTCTGCTACAGCCTGGGAAGAAAGAGGCTTCCTGGAAAGTACAATCCAGACTGCCTGAATCGTGTAGTGTGAATGGGCAGATATAAATCCATGGAGCTGGGTTCCTGGAGGCCCTCAGCTCACCAGTGAAAAGAGATGTGTGAGTGGGGCTGCTGGAATTCCACAGTTTACAGGGGTGGGCTGCTGGGGGTTTGCAGTGGTTCAGGAGAACCTCCAGCTAAGATTCTGTGCAGTTTGGAGAACCCCCAAATCCCACTCCTGGCTGGTCCTGCCCAATCTGCCCCTCCCAGGAGGCCCCACGTGGCCCATTTTGGATGCAGGTATGTGCAGGGCATGCACAGATGCTCAGAGAGGATGAAAAACAGACCTATCGGAAATTTGGGAGGGCCAGAAATTGGTCTGTTTCTGGCCTCCAGAGAGCCTCTGGAGCCTGGGGAGGCCATTTTCACACTCCCAGAGGCTCAAGGAAAACCTCTGGAGCCCTGTGGTGCAGGAGGCCAGATAGGCCACACCTACCATGGCCACACCCATTCAGCAACCGGGCAGAGAACCCCTTGCTAAAAAAATGTGAAGCCCACCCCTGGTTTTCAACCTTGGTAACTGTCTGGCCCCCGTCATCTTGCCTAGGGGAGTTAATGCAGCCAGCAAAAGACATTCATTATGAGGTGTGGGAAGTTGAGCAGGTGCTTCTTTAAATTATCAATTGCTAATCAGGTTCCTGGCATCTTGATTAAACTAGGGGAATAATAATGGCTATTCACAGAGCAAAAAGCCAGACTTGGTAAACAATTATTTTCCCACAAGAGAAGCGCCGGATGGCTCTTGCCTGTTGCTTATAAAATTGCAGCAAGCCACTCCCAATGCTTTCCTCGGCTTCCAGTCTCCATGTTGCACATTCTGCTTCTCTTTATTTGATTTTGCCATTAGGAAATCCCACTATCTTATTTATGTATTTATTAATTAAATGCCCAATGCTGCCTGACTTCCAACCAGTCCCGATGATCTACCATAATGGAGAGCAAGGTCTCACAATTAAAGACTAGTGTTTCTCTCCACCCCTTACCAATTTGCTCTATGATTTATAACTGCTACATGTTTTAAATAAGTATTTATTTAAAGTATTTATAAATATTTATAATGTTCTTGTATAATAAAGAAAAGAATATAGTTTTGTAAATAGGGTATAATGCTATACTATTATACTAGTTTATAGCATGTATAAATAGTATATATTTATATAACTATAGCACAGCAAAAGCTTGTAGCTTGCAAAAAGGCTCATGTGGGTAATTGATGGAATACACATTCAGATGGCATATTTGCAACTCAGCCAAAGCCAATTTGGAAGCCATCCTTGGCAGATGGCCCTTGAATTATGCTTGCTGATTTGGCTATACCTATCCCACCTGCATTGGGAAGTTTGTATGAAAATCTCCCACTTGTTATGATGACTCTGAACAGCTGTTTGTTTTTTTTTCTTTTCCTGTGCACCCTAATTCAATGAGAATGTCTCATTGGCTTCCAAGTTCCAACTGCTCTTTATAATTGTGAAGATTTCAGAGTCGGTCAAGAGTCAAGACTGCTTTCCTTGCGATCTCTTCCAAATTTGTTATTCTTGACCTTGTCAAGGCAAAATCTGACAAAAGGCCATTTTAGAGAGCAAGAAGACAGAAGTAATTATGGGCTGCTTGCTTTTCCCCTTCTGGGATGAATGAAGCTTTAGTGAGTATGAGAAGATATGCCTGAAGGTAAGGTAGGAAATTAGATTTTCTTCTGTGCAAATGATCCCATGGCACTGGTGGTGGTGGTGAGGAAGGGTGGACAACATCTGCTACAGCTCTGATGGAAACAGAAATCTATGGCTATAGTGTTATGAAGCTTAATATGGTCAGGCTATACAGACATATTTATCTTGCTAAACATATCATTCTAAACTGCACAAGGCATTCTTTCAAGGACATTGAATTCTGTGCAAGTATTAGGTCTACAGAAAAATTTTGTCATCTGGAGTTTGGCCACATATGTATGAGTATGAAGCTGATTTCTATCCTCAATATTTTAAAGTTTGTCTCGATCTTGTAACTACAAAGAAGGAGGGCATCAGATTGAGTGATAGCTTGTGTGTGAATGACATCATACAAAGTCTACAATTATGTACTTCCATATTTGATGCAAGCCAATACATTACCTTTGTGATTAAGGTTAAGGTTAAGGCTATAAAAGGAAGCCATGCTTTCTACTTCTACCTTAGACACAAAAGTCAGCTGGTAAGTTTAGGGCAATCATTCTTTCTCAGACTTACCCATCTCACAGGGTTGTTGATATGGGAAAATAAGAGATGGATGTAGACAAAATAAAGGCCGGATATAAATGTAAAAATAAGTAAATGAACATTTGCAAAATGACCTCATCACATGTTTGTCACACTTTATTATTTGCTCTTTCTGACCTTGGAAATGTCCTTTTTGTCACCCCTAACCTAATTCATTTCTTAGTCTCTTTTTTATTATTATTATTATAAACACCCTATTCTCGTAACTGCTTCCCTTGTTCTTTCTTTATAAACTGTTCCAGATAAGCTAGCAATGGAAAGTGGCGTTTCAGAGAGCAGAGGCTGTTTGAAAAGGAAATCACTGCTCACAAGGTGGGGAAACTAATCTGGCTTCACATCTGGTAAGCCAATCTTTCCAGCATACTTTTGGTTTTAAAATCTTGCTGCAGATGTTTTAGAACAAAAGACTTACATGGAAACACATCGGAGGATATAATTCTCTCATTTTTTTGTTTTGTTTTTAGTTTGGTTAAAATGTGCCCCTTGCCTCAAAACTGAACGTGGCATTAGAAGCCCAAACTTGCTACTGACTGGTACTGTTTTACTATGTGGCAGAAGCCGGGGTCTGCAACGTAATAAGTCCTCTAAGAACTGGCATTAGCTTTCGGTGCTATTGGGCTGCTCATTGATCCAGAAACACCCATTGTACAATGTAGTCAAGGATCAGCCCTAAAGTGAGACATGACATTTGGATTTACTCTTTGCAAACTCACGTGACGCTCCCGCAGAGCCACCTGGATGGTGAAATACAGCAAAGAAGCTCAGCGCAGCTCCATATGCTCTTCTTGCCACTGTCAGCTTTTTCACAACATTGACTTTCATGATGCTGACCTATGTAGACTCTTGACAAATGCCAATGATGACTGGAAGGGACATCTGCAGTATCACATCTCGAAGCGCTTGTTTGTACATTCAGGTCATAGCTTCTGAACTGCCTGGTCAGAAAGTGGAGGAAGCTTTAATCATTTCCATCTGGTTGACCATTGCTTCAGGGTGAATTAAAAGCTACACCCTGCCTCTGCACTCAGCATGTTATCTTCTTTTATTTTACTAATGGACTGATTTATCTCATTTGCTTTATAAATAAATAGAGCACTATAGGTAAAGATTCTCTTGAGGTGGGATCAACTCCTGATGATTTCATAGACATGACTGTACAATTTTCATGGCAGTGTTACAGAAGCAGTTTGCCACTGCCTTCTTCCAGAAGGTTGCTTTGATTGCCAGTCTAGCAAATAGCCTAGATATTTCCTGCTAGCTTGACCCTGCTTAGCTGAACCCTACAAAGAAAGTTGCAGTAAGAATAATGAATAACAAATAAACAAAAAATAGAGTGTTGTCTGAATGATCTTCTTGTAGAAACAACTGTGTGGGAGTTCAGTGAGGATACAACACAACACACACCTTAAAAAAAAAAGCCTGAGTCACATTGCTCTCTTCCTCTTCCCCATTTTGTACCCTTATTAATTGAGGGAATCTCCAGAAGATTATTTGTCTTTTCTGATACTTTATGAGGTTGTGGCTCTCTAATTTTCTACAATTGCCTTTTTATGTACTCAATTTTTAAAACTATGTTTAAGATACCTTAAACAGGAATGATCATCTCAAACATTAATAGTCACTCATCCACTTCTTACCATTTTATTTCAACAAATAAACTGATCCTTTTCATTCTCCTTCACTCAGTCCTGTATCTGAAGATAGCATCTGTGGAATTACATCACCACAAAGCTTAGATATGGAGATAATAAATTCACCAAAGCCACCCAATGATTACATAGGCTTTTGTGATTCAGGTCCAGGTTCTACTCTATCCACAGTGAGCTTGTGGCATCCTCAAGAGGATCAGACCACTCTTCCATTGGAAGCATGTTATTCTGCCAATGCTCCAGAGGAGAAAGGAAAAGCAACCCTCCTCTTCTCACCTGGGGGATCCAGTTTTTTCCTGCACCATCAATAACAAGATGCTAAATCTGTCACTGAGTTTGGTGGGGTGGGTGGATTTGCGTCAGTGGGTGACTTTTATAGCTAGGAAAGTAGAAATTGGGGGTAGAGAGGGACTTCTGGAATGTGAAACAGCTGGTGTCTGAGTCATGGATCCAAAAGGCCTTACTGGTAGGTTGAAGATGGGGAGTGGATGGCATTTATTACTGTCAATTTGGCTCTCTCATGAAGGAAAAGGTGGGAGGATCTGTCACCTTCTGGGTATGGGCAAAAGGCCTTTCCTGGATTTCACCTTGGTATGTTTTCTACAGTACTTACGTAGGAGCTGGAGATGCAAGATAGGTCTGGCAGCGTGAGATCGAAAATATGTGAATCAGAGCTTCTCCTCCAATTCTCTCATCTTCTACAGGTTGCGGAGATGCTTTGCTCATGAAAATTATTTTCTGATTAGCTTTTTCCTGCCAGACATTTTGCACAACTACGATAACTGATTTCTCTCTATGGCGCCTCCTTTATATAGAAAATCTGTTGGAGATAAATTGTGCAAAATCCTGCTTTGATCAAGGATGCCCTTTTATTCAGTCTAGACTTTATCTTGAGGTCAATAATGCCTTTGACTTCAGTTTAAAATGTCATATATATCTTTCATTTTAATGAATAGGCAGAAACTCTTTCTCTTTCACAGTAAGAACTTAAAGTAGCATTTCCTAATCTTGGCAATTTTTAAGTATGTAGACTTCACTTCCTAGAATTCTTAACAATTGCTATTTTGGCTGAGGAATTTGGGCAGATGGTCCATTCCTCTGACATTGGGAAGCATTGGGCTATATGTTTTGTGTCCATGGTTGTGCAGTCTATGAGGTGTTCAACATAAAAACAGGTCCCTTAGCAAATTTATAGCAGAGATGTATACTGAAAAATATAAAAGTGATTTTCTGGAAGCAAAATGAATCTAAATAGGATATTAAGGGACTGAATTTTTAGCAATATGGTATGATATTGAAATAAACATTTTGTTCTATAGAAATCCCTTATTCTCCTATGTTTATAATTTTCAACATAAATGCTCTTGAAGTTCTCTATTCCCAATCTCTGTTTACTCTTCCAAATGCAACATAATTCTGAGTTTTATCTTTCAAAGATATCTACTGATATCCATAATGCTATAATCAAAGGAATGTCTATATTTTTTTCAAGACTAAAACCTGCAGGGAACATTGACTGATCAGTTTACTCCTTTTATCTCCAAAAAAAGGAACCCAAGTACCCGACATCTGTCCTTTGATCTGTAGGTTCAGCCCAATATATAGAGATGTGAATTGATTTTCTAAAAAATCCTTCATCTTCATTTCATAAAAAGAAAATAATAATAATAACAACAACAACAATAAGATAGACTATAAGAAAGCATTTGATTCAGTTCCCCATAGCTGGATTAAGAAATGCCTGAAAATCTTTGGCATCAGCAGCAGCATACAAAAATTCATGGAAACTTCAATGAACCTCTGGAAAATGAAGCTTATAGCTAATGAAGAAGNCCGCCCCCTAGAGTCAGGAACAACTAGCACATATGTGCAAGGGGGACCTTTACCTTTATGGGAATGAAGTTAGAAATTATTATATCCAACTCAGTTTTATGGCTTCTGTTTTTAATGCAAGTCAGAGGATGAAGATTCAGAATTAAGCTGTGAGAAGGCATAAACTTCTAAATCTAAGATGGAGATGGAAAAGGCAGTTATCATGCCTCAACCCACATTCTCTCCAGAGTCATCTGAGAGAATCCCAGGAAGAGAGAGCACTTCAGCCTTCCACAACAGGGATATCACCTCCCACAATCCACATTGTTTCAGGTGTCTTGGAACTGTAGGCCTACATGTTTGGAAAACATTTGAGATGAGGGGAATAATGTAATCTTATTCTCTTTACAGACTACTTTTGAACCTGGAGAATGAATATGACATCTTCCTTCTATTACATTATTACTTGGCCCTTTTTACAATTTCATTTTCACCCCCCATTAAGGATGTTGTAAAAGATTTATAGAGATTTTGTAACTCTTCTTCTATTTTACTGCTAGGCTTTGAGAATCTGTGAGATGAGAGAATGCCTGCCAGGAAGTTATGAGTCTAATGCACCAGAGGGCTCCAGGTGGGAAAAAGACGACTGAAACAAAAACTAAGAAAAGCTGGTTATAGACTGAAGAGAAGCAATGGGCGAAACATATCTTTGAAAATCAAGGAAACCATTATTCTTCCACATACTAGAATTTGTTAACTGGGGGAGACTCAAAAGATGCCTAGAAAGGGTCCTTGTAAAAAGTGGATTTTAAGGCCCACAGATCATTGTTGCTTCTGTGACATGCAAGAAATATTCAAAGCTTTCCAATGCTGAAGAACAGCTTGGCAGGCAGAAGGAATGGAGCTAATTACCTTTGTCACTATCTTCTTTTCCACCTAAAGTGAGGAGGAAGCATGTAATCTGTCCTGTCAGAGAGGAGATTGTGGAGGGTGAAGTCCCGCCCTTAGCCTTCTGAAACCCCGCATGCAGCTCCTCACAAGGCTGTCAGTGCCAAACAGTGGGGGCTGATGACAAATATTTTGCCAGGCTAAAGGAAAGGCAAAATAGGAAAGGCAATGTGATTCACAGGATTCATTGGCAATTTGGAATTTAGGCTGAGAGAACAGCAAGATCCAAAAATGTTACTTCAGCTTTCCAGGTCCATAACTCCTTATCCTAACCAGCAAAGGAGTTAAATTGAAGAGAGAGCATTTATACGCCTGATAATTTTAAATGAAATGTTTTCCAAATAATATTCTTTCCATTCTGTTTTAGGGTACTTTGATCCACTCAGCTTACACCTACAAACAGCACTATCAAAAGGAGTTTAATTAGTGGCATGTACTTTTGCACAGTTTTTGAACCTGGAAGTCAGATAATGAGCTTCTTAGTCCTTAAATCCAGGCAGCGAACCTCTGTTGGAAACTTTTAACATTCTAAGCATGACACAGTTTGTTCATGAGGACAAACAACCTTAAATGAAAGGAACAAAATGATCACCACACATCATTACTCCTTACAGAGTGGGCAACCCAAGGCTAACGCCTTTTGGGTTCTATAAAAGGTAAAGGTAAAGGTGCCCCTCACACATATGTGCTAGTGGTTCCCAACTCTAGGGGGTGGTGCTCATCTCCGTTTCAAAACCGAAGAGCCAGCGCTGTCCAAAGACATCTCCGTGGTCATGTGGCCGGCATAACTAGATGCCAAAGGAGCACAGAATGCTGTTACCTTCCCACCAGGGTGTTCCCTATTTTTTCTACTTGCATTTTTACATGCTTTAGAACTGGTGTGTTGGCAGAAGCTGGGACAAGTAACAAGAGCTCACCCCATATGGCACTAGTGATTCGAACCGCTGAACTGCTGACTTTTCTGATAGACAAGCTCAGTGTCTTAGCCACTGAGCCACCACGTCCCTTAAACCATGGATTTGTAGTAGATTGTCTACCAGTGATGTCTCTCATATTTCCTAGTGCTGCTTAAGTTCAATAAAAGGGTGGTATGTAAAGCCATTTTACTGCCAGAGTATTATTCTTCAATAATGTATTGCTTCCAAATTTTCTCCAGCAGAGTGGGCATATTATTCACTATAGCTGCACTGCTGTTCCTTGGAAATCATGCTCTAACAGGATCTTGATTGTACGGGGGTTGTTAAGCTACTTTTTTAAAAAGATGGTTTTCCCCTCATGTTACAGCTATCAGACCCAAGGATTAAGAAATCCCAATGACCATTAAACAGCAGCAAAAATGTAGAGCTTTCTGTATCCCTTTCCAGCATCTCATGGTTTTTCCTCCTTTACCTCCTCCCAGTGGTGGGTTTCAAAAATTTTTGGAACCTCTTCTGTAGGTGTGGCCTGCTTTGTGGGAGTGGCTTGCCGGCCATGTGACCGGGTGGGAGTGGCTTGGCAGTCATGTGACTGGGTGGGAGTGGCCAAGACAATGTCACTGAATTCTTTGCCCCAATGGATGATCTACAAGAGAAGATATAAAAAAGGAAATTTATTATTTTGTGCGCTTACTACTTAAANTTAGGACTCGAGCTGTTGAACTACCAACCAGCCCCAAAGGCTGTGAATCTCACCAAAGATTAACCACATAACAACAACAACAACAACAACAACAATAATTCAAAGAGGCTGAGAGATGGAAGAGGACCCAAATTTCTGTGAGGGAAAGAAGAAGTATTACAGGTGCTGTATCTGTCCTGGTTTCAGAGGGTGCTAAAATGCAACAGGAGCAAGAGATTGGAGAGGGTGTGGTATAAAAATCAGGCCATCTCTGTGAACTACAGAAGCACTGAGGAGTTTCCCATAAGATGAATGCCAGGAACTCCACATAT